TTGCGATATGTATAAGATATGTACACACTGTTTGTCGTTAAGACCCTATCTTTGGTGCGATTCCGGCTTCTTCACTGCGATTCCTTGCTACCTCCGTTGTGCGACCTTTCACTTCAACTCTACTGGCATCTTGGCCGACACCTGAGTTGCCTAACTCACCCATGTTCTGCTCAGTCTTTCCCGACTTCACTGTTTCTCTGGTTGCCTCCTTCATTTCTGCCTTTTGCGTGATTTGTGGATGGTTTTCCTTCGTGGTTTTGAATGAGATTCTTGGTTCCTTCTTGTAGAGCTACTTTGTGTGTTATTGGATTATTCATTTGAGATGTGTCCAATCCATTTTAGTGCCAATCTTCGTGATACTTGAAAGGAAAAGTGTTTATCTTTAATTCAGAGTTTTAATTCCATTGTTATTAATTGATTTGGAACTCATGTAGTGTTTGTTTGATCAATTGAAGGTTGTATTTACTTCACAAACTAGCATTAGAGCCTCCAATGGCTCGATTGCTTGCTGATTTTCGATCTTTGGTGGCTGAAAATTGGAATTGTTGTATCTGTACCATGTATTTGATGTAATTGAGGCGTTGGTTTGCTGATTTTGGAATAAGGACTCATTTCTTAAATAAATTCACATATTTCATTGTTACGAACACAGATAGGCCCACTTTGTAAATTGGCTGAAACTCTTTAAATTATTGTAATAGTAGGTCATCTTGTGGGGTGACCAATAGAATTGTGGCCTTGTATGATTCTAGTACTTTAGAATTGCATGCCTTGTATGATTCTAGCTAACTCCCATCATTAAGTGAATCTGAATCTGAGGACTTCCTATGACTATTCCTCACCGTGTTTAAGGCCACATACTTATCGTTTGTCGATTTAGGTAATATCAGCTCATAAGTTTGGAGAGATCTAACCAGCTCTTCCACCTTAATGGAGTGTATATCCTTACTTTTCTCAATAGTGGTGATTTTAGCCCTCAAACGCTCGGGGGTAAGGATCTAAGAATTTTACGAACTATCTTCGGCTTAGGGATTCTCTCTCCTAGGTTGAAACTAGAGTTAACTCTGTCATTTAAATTCGCATAGAAAGCATCAAACATCTCATCTTCTCTCATCCTAATTTCCTCAAACCTCAGCATTTGCAATTTCGAGTTCTTAACAGCCTGAGTTCCCTCATGGCTGGTCTATAAAATATCCCAAACTTATTTGGCTACTTCACACATAGACACTCTCCGAAACTCTTCAGGGGACACTGCCATAAATAGGGCATGTAAGGCTTTGCTATTCCAGTTACATTCATCTAAGTTAGTCCTAATCCAATTAGCAATGGGAGTGTCACTACGTTTTAT